TTACGTATAAAAAAATTATTTTAAACCTGATTAATTAGTCTACTTAATGTATAATCTGATTAGTTGGTAACATATGTTGGGCATGTAAGAAAATATTTGAGTTTAGTTTTCACGTAATACATTTATATTTTATATTTTTGGGAAGGGTAACAAAATTTAAATGTAACTAATTAGTTAGCATTGACATTATTAAGTGCATGAAAAATTCACATAAGATTTAATTTAATTATATTTGATCAATAATATTGTTTTTCTAAAATAATATTGATCTGTTGGAGTCTTAATATGAAATTATATTAAACATATTAAGATGAAAAAGATAACAATTATTTGTATAAATTATTTTAAAATAAATTAGTGTTGTATTATCATTAGTGTAAAATAATGATTTTAATTATAACAAGATTTTACGTCGATTAATTTGTTAGTTAACATAAAAAATTAAGACTTTTTTTTAATCATTTATATCTAGGTCAATCGACATAAAAATCTATTTTAACTTGCATAGAAAAAATATGTTACACTATAGTGTATCGATTGATAATTTTTTATTTTAAAAGAATTGTCTCAACATGTGACACCTATTATCCAATTATAATTTATGGCGAAACAACTCAGTACTCTCCGGGAACCCTCCTCCTCTGATTCCTATACACAGTTTTCAAAATCAAACTCTGGAATTATTTCTAGTGACTTCATACAAACAATAGGTCCACCATATATCCCCTCGTCAATTCTTCTTCTTCGTCCATCCACACACAGCACGCAATTTTGGAACTAGAAAATATATACCCAATCTCTTTCTATATTTATTTATATATTTGAATTGAGAGAATCCACGTCATGTTAGCCAACTAATTACATATTTTTAATATTCTGATCATTGCCAATATTAATGCTTGCATAGTCCAACTATAGAATATAATTTCCAATTTTTATAGGAGAGTACAATAGACTAATTTTTTTATATATAATTTAATTTAACCTTGTTGTAAAAGGAAAACGAATTTCAAGAATGAGAATTTTACTGTGGCAATCATACTGAAGATCAGTGTGATGAGAGGTTAATTAACTTATGTAGTGGCACTCACTCACTCTCACACACTCACACTCTTTTTTTTTCTTTTTCTTCTATATACACGCTATTTTCGGATAACGTGGCAGTTTTTTCGACTCTCAAATAGATTGCAAACCATAGAGGACAAGCAAATTTATTTTTCTTTTTATCAGCAAATTAATTGTATTAAATTGGTAAAGAGATACCAAAACCCAAATACATGTTAGGACAAGCAATGTAACAACCATGCATAAGTTAAAGTTTTTCACACACATATATAATTAGTGAATTGAAATTCATTTTGGCGGTGTCATTTCCATTCGTTAGTGTGCGATAATATATCTTCAACGGACTAATTAAAGGATAACATAGTCAACATTCATCTACCAATTTTGTTATATATCAAATCAGAGGACATTCATTATAATAAAAAAATGGCCAAACGCTGAATTTTTATATATGTCTTGTTTCAAAATCAAGTTTAATTTGTAATAAGCATGAAAGTTTGGGTAATTTTTTGAACTTCAAAACTAATTTATTACAGTGAGTAATACATTAAAATGTTTTTTTTTTTCAATAAGTAGAATTAATTTTAATTAAAAGATTGATAATTTATTCAAATTATATTTAAATAATCTTATAATTATTATTTTAAAACAGTTAATTTTCTAAATATTAATTATTTTAGCATCAATATTTTTCAAATATCTAAACCGAAGAAGCCTTAATAGTATGTTTAGTTTAAAAAAAAACATGAAGGAAACTAAATAGAAAGAGGGATACATTTTTATATTAACACATGGAATTACTATCACGATGATATAAATTAACTGAATGTCTTCAGTTTAAATCCTAAATATATAATTATATTCAATATTTAAAAATAACGAACTTTGAACTAGAATAAAATTATTTCTCTTATAAACTATATATGTGATGTTGTAAAAAAAAAAAATTGATATAGGAGAGAGAACGATGTACTTAACTGTGTGAAAAGTGAAAAAAAAATGTAAGTAAAATAATATAAATTTCTCAAATAAAAAAATGTGACCCAGTTAAATGTTTTTTTATTTATTAACCAGCACATACACTTTCTCCTATATATATATATATATATATAAAATAATAATACTTTTTTACGTGGGACCACAACATGCAATCTCTTAGTATTTTACAGAGGTCCAAACAATGGAAAAATTAGTTGTGTTATTTTCCATTCATCCATATTCCTTCTTATTTTCAATACAGACAAAGCGTAAGTAAAAAAATTCTCTAAATGTTATTAAATAAATAAGTTATATTTTTTTAAAAATACTATTAGTGATATATAAGGTGTTATTAAAACCTTTTAATACATAGCATGTGCTTGGTTTTATGTTATAGTATAATTTAAGAGATTTTTTTCTTAGTGCAAAATGTAAAAAAAAAAAAAAAAAACCTTCTATATTTTTTCCTATCTTAATGCGTATGTATAGTTTTTCAATACGATCAATTGATCAAACACAATCTTTATACTATACTTGATAAAGTGTAACAAACATAAATAATAACATTTTTTTTTAATGAAACAAAGAGTAGTTTGATTTGAAAAATCATTTTCTATTTTTAAGGATACGAGAAAGCGAGTTAAACCCATTAAGTTAATTTGATAAACTCACCATTTTTAGTGGGTTAAATTTAAAGAACTCAACTCATCAATGGATTGAAAATTTATTGAACCGGGATTAATTCTTGAAAATAGCCATTAAACAATTAATTATCAAAGCTTCTGGAAGCAGACCTAGCTAAGGCACTACAAATTGACTGTAATTTAAAACGTGTGCAAGCCTTTTAGCAAAATAATAATATCACAATGGAGAAACACTCAGCAGACACAAGAATGGGTAAAGTTAATAACCATTAACCAGGGGAAGATTGTGATCATTATTAATTAGAAGATATGTATAACTTAAAGAGGATTATAGTCAAAATCATGATTCAAATTCAAATAAAAATAGATAGAGTACTAACAATGCAATACTTACCCCATTAATAGCAAAAGATATTAACAGCGATCTGCTGGCGTGCTAATAAAAGCTGCCTAATTAAGCTACGAAACATGACGTGGAAAGTAAATTCACGTACGAAATAAAGATTTAGATTTTCAATTATTAATTATAGCAGACATGGGCATATACCACAGCCATCAAAAATGAATTACTAGAAGAAGAACGACATTGAATTCAAATACTAATTAAGGAAGTTATTGTTATGACAAAAGGCGTGATAATGAAGGCTGCTATACTTAACTGGCTTTAGCCAAACTGGATGAAAGAAAAGGGCAAAGGCTGTAATATATTAATAGAATAATAATTATAACAACAAAAGTATTTTATTTTTATTTTTTTCCCTCTCATTTTACTTTATTTTTAAGCTCAATATCTCTTTTTTATTTTCTACCAAAATTCACACTTTTGTGAGTATTGTTATTCCACTCTCAAATTTGTATATTTTATTTTCAAACTTATTATTTTGTATATTTATTATTTTATTAATTGATTGTTTTACATTATTAATTGATTATTAAAGTTTTACTTTAATTATTTGACATAATACATTATATCATTTCATCATTTATAGGTCATGTAATAATTTATATCAACGGTTAAAATATAACGTTAATAATAAATATGTTATATTAATGATCAATTAATAATATTAAATATGATCTTACAGGATAATAATATATGAAATATTAAAATTTTGGTGATAAAATGTGGAATTTAAAAGTTGAATGATAAATTTAACAGTATTATAAAATATTGGTGGGGAATACAATTTTCTTATTTATCTTTCTCTAATTACTTCCTACATTATACACTAGAATATATGTAATGATGTTGTCTAACTTAATTGGGTTAACATATTGCGTAAGTTATTATAAAATTCTTACACCAAATTTGATTATAATAAATAAATAAAAAATACACTAAAAAAAATGTACTAATATCATTACCTAAATTAATAATATGCATGAAAAAAGTCACACATATATATATATATATATAAAGTTTAAGCGAATTAAATCTTTAAATTTATTAAAATAGTATTGAGACTTAAATAGTACTTATAAAGATAGTTAGAAATTATGTATAAATAAGATTCTCACATTAACTTAAGAAATTAAACTCATCCAGTTCTGTACTGAACTAAGACATTTAAATTAACATTTTCTAATTTTATAATATATAATGAAAAAAATCAAAATAATAATAATACTAAGAAGAAAAACACAAAGAGAGAGGAAGTAGGTGCTAGAGAAGAAAGGGACACTTTATGAAGGATGGTTCTGTGTCTGTCATCCCCGTTGTCTGACTGAACTTTTGTCAACGGTATTAATAAAATTGGAACGGAATGGAATTAGTCATCCAGTTCATAACTCAAGCCGGTTTCTTCAAAACTTGCTGCTCTTTCCTGCCCCACTTTCCCTTCTTCCCTTCACTATATATACATCCATATATTGATCACACTAACATCCATAATTATATTCATCCTTATTTTTCAGTTTCTCTCCTTCTAAGCCTCATTATCTCTCAACCAAGGTAGTTCATAGCAGCTCAATTTAATCTCTTCTTTCTAACTTTTCCAATGAAAGAGAAGTGCACATTTTTATCTCTTTTCTCCCGACACACAAAGTCACAGACACAATATGTGTATAAATTATACATATAGTCTGGTTGAATACAAACTTAGAAAAACTTCAGAATTTCTTAACCAAAATTAAAGATCTTTCTTGAATAGAAATTTTTTTAAAAATACTTTAAAGTTTGAACGTTGTTATTGTGAGTAGTTAATTACATAAAATTAAGCATAGTTTATTTGTTTTATTTCTCTCTATGTGTTATACATATGCATGTTCTAATATGATTTACTTGCACATGTTACTTTACATTTTGCAGAGCCTATGTCTCCTGCAATGGCACTAAACGAGCAAAAGAGCAAGGATGATATAGCAGAAAGTCAATATCAGAAAGGAGTGAAGCATCTGTGTGAGAAAGGCCATCTTCACGAGGTTCCTAAGAAGTACATACTTCCTGCTTCCGAGAGACCCACAAAGAGTGTGGAAGATCCAAATGTTGCAAAGCAAAACCTTCAATTACCCATCATTGATTATGCCGAATTGCTTGGTCCAAATAGGCCACAAGTCCTAAAATCCCTAGCCAATGCTTGTCAACAGTATGGATTTTTCCAGGTAATAATTAATTAAGTCTTTGGTGCATGGACCATTAATATTGCCCTTATCTTTTTGTTCTATTTTTATTTTAAAACGTGTAAATTATAAAATAAAATTCTCATGTTATATTCTGTTTATAACACATTCACTGATGCTACCTATTTTAGTATATGATATGATACGAATCCATGGAGCCTCCCTCATGCATGAATCATGAAAGTTAATTAATTAATTATAATTGTGTTATTATGCATAGAAAGAACCTTAGATTTTGAGGAAAATGATTAATTAGAATGCGATGTGATTGAAGTAGTTTGTTGTGTTGGATTGATGCAGCTGGTAAATCCTTGCATCTCGGATGATGTTGTAAGGAGCATGATAGATGTGAGTGGGAGGTTCTTCGATCTGCCTCTGGAAGAGAGAGCTAAGTACATGACAACTGATATGCGAGCACCGGTTCGATGTGGGACCAGCTTCAGCCAAACCAAGGACACTGTGTTGTGTTGGAGGGATTTCTTGAAGATCTTGTGTCATCCCTTGCCAGATTTCTTGCCCCATTGGCCTACTTCCCCAGTGGACTTTCGGTGAGTACACGCTAGCAGCAAAGCTTATAGTATGAATATTGTATAACAGCAACAATTTTGGTTTTCATTTCACTAATTATAGAGGAATGCTGTTTTCATTTAAATATATAACAATAATTTTTACAATAAAAAGTAAGAAAAAAGTTAAATTAATGATGTAATAGATATAAACAAAAGAGGAAAAAGTAATGTGATAATAACGTCAATATTTTAATTACAACTTGTCATATGCAAGTGCAGGCTTTCATATTTTTTTATTTTAAACCAGGAAAGTGGTGGCCACCTACGCAGAAGAAACCAAACACTTGTTCCTGGTGGTAATGGAAGCCATCCTAGAGAGCTTAGGAATCATGGAAACAAAGCAAGAACTAGAAGAGTTTGGCAATGGGAGCCAGATGATGGTGGCAAATTTCTACCCACCATGCCCTCAACCTGACCTTACCTTAGGTATGCCTCCTCACTCTGACTATGGCTTCCTCACACTTCTCCTTCAAGACGAGGTTGAAGGCTTGCAAATCTTATACCAAGACAAATGGGTTACCGTTCAACCCATTCCCAACGCCTTCGTTATCAATGTTGGTGATCACTTAGAGGTATATACAAAATAAAATCCTTCATTTTCAACAATTATATATAGTCACATGCATTATAAGGAGAACTTGGCCCTCCATGGCTATCTTATCTGGCTCGAATAGGAATAGGAATATCTTAATGAAGAATACTTGTACATTTTATATCTATACAAGAGAATTTAATGCTAAATCATATATATTTGTGGTTTGTATATATTGTGCTGATTTTCATTTTCTTGGTCTGAATTAATTATCAGATATATAGCAATGGAAAATACAAGAGTGTATTGCATAGAGTTCTGGTGAATGAATTTAAGAGTAGGGTGTCGGTGGCTTCGCTGCATAGCCTTCCCTTCAACTGCACGGTGAAACCGTCGCCAAAACTCGTCGACGAAGCGAATCCGAAGCGTTACATGGACACAGATTTTGGGAGCTTTCTTGCGTACGTATCCAGCAGAGAGTCCAATAAGAAGGATTTTCTGGAGTCTAGAAAGTTGAAATATTGATGATATATATCCATAATTAGAAAGCAAAATAAAGAAACAAGAATTACGGATATTAATTTGAGGGAGACAATATGTAGCATCAATCATGCTTGGAATTTAATTTGAGTGTCTCTCATAAATATCTGTCTTGCTGTCTCCTTGTGTTACTGTAATGGGTGTGAACATTGATCACTCGCTGATCTACGTACGTTTGAGTTGTAGAAGAAAATTTTGGCAATTGTGATTATGGTAATATGCGGTGATATTCTCAATAGTTTTTTATTTTATTTTAAATTATGTTATATATATATATATATAATTAGTTATTTTTTAGTATATTTTTTTTAATACATTCTTTTCAGTTCACAATATTTGATCGGAGACTAAATTCATTTTCACTATATGTAGTATTGTAAGATGATATTTATTTGTTTAAATACTACTAATTTTTTCAAGACTTTCATAGGATATTGTGAGTTTTTACTTTTGTAATATTCTACAAAAACATTAAAAACAGGATATTTAGAGCTAAACATTTCCTGCCGTGATTATATAGGTTAACACATATAATTAAACTTTATAAGTTTAATAAAGAATAGTTATTAAAATTTAATCAATCTAAATATCACAAATATCTAAAAGAATAAAAGTATTGTTAATAAACAGGAACTATAATCTAGAATTTTTGTAACGATCCGATATATGTAACTATATTTTTCAATTGAACAACTAAGTAGTGAAAATTAATAAATAAGTTAATTATACTAGAATTATCATATAACAATATTTATATATTCATGCAACAAATATATGTATAGAATGTATAAAACATATAACATTTTTTGTCAATTTAATTTGAAAACATAAAATCTATTATGAGATTAGAATAAAATCATGTACATATATATAAATATACATTTAATATAAAGTACCAAAAACATAAAGATCCTAACACCATTCAAACAACTACAAAACAAAAGTTGCCTCAAAACAACAATAACCAAAACACTCTCATCTCTAACATGACATTTGAACCTGCTCTCGTCCTCTGGCCTGAACCTGCCTTACTCTCATAATAAAATAATCATCATAGTCTAACAACAAGAAAAATAAAGATAAATTCATACATAAGAAAATAACACAATAAGAAAGCAGTAAACTAACTATACAAGTAACTTGAACATCTAAACAACAGGGAGGGCTGGGAATAAAAGATATCAAAGCATTCAACATTGCACTTTTGGAGAAATGGAGATGGAACCTATTCCATCAACCCAATTATTTGTGGGTAAGAGTCCTATGCTCAAAATATGGTGGCTTTCAAAACCTATGTGCACAAAATGCAATAAGAAAAGATTTTGTATGGTGGAAAAATTTATTGAAGGCATGTGGTGGGCTTGAATTAGATGAATGGTTTGGTCGTCAGTGGAGTGGAAAGTGAATAGTGGCAGATCAGTCAGATTCTGGTTGGATAATTGGAGAGGTTGTGCACCTCTTGCTGTTACATTCCCATCTCTGTTTGTTTTATCTGAACAATAACATGATATGATTTCGGATATGGGAAGTTTAAGGGATGGAAAATGGTCGTGGAACTTAAGGTGGAACACAAACAGAAACGAAAGGGATACCAACCTGGAAATTCAATTAAGACAGATGATAGGGGAGTGGAGTTCACCAATTAATATGCCAGATATGTGGATTTGGAAATCAGAGATTTCAGGTTTGTTTTCGGTGAAAATGGCATATAGAGTGCTACAGTCAGAGAATTTAATTGGGGAAGAAAATTCGGTGTTTAAGTGGTTGTGGTCCATAAAGGCTCCACCAAAGGCGTTGATATTTCTATGGAGAGTTATCAATGGTGGCATCCCTACAGTGGACAACCTATTGAAGAGGAATATAACCTTATCAGATCAACAATCACTTTGTGTACTTTGCAAATCGGACAGGGAATCTGCTTCCCATTTATTTTGTTCGTGCCCAGTGGTTCATAAGGTTTGGAAGATTTGCCTTGGTTGGATAAATTGCCCGTCTCCGATCCCACAGCAGGTGGGTCAATTTTTAAATTTCGTTCCAGCACCTCTAACAAGGTCTTCACAAATTGATGCATGGAGATCATTGTGGTTGGCAACCATCAGAACTGTGTGGTTACATAGAAATAAGGTCATTTTTCAAGGAGCTCCGTTCAATCAGGATCAAGTAACCAAAGACATTTTGTGCACATCCTGGCAGTGGCTGGATTCATTTACCAATCATTTTAAGGTGCCTTTTTCTTTATGGATCACTAATCCTGGCTTAGGAGTCATGATGCAGTGAAATTGAATATAAACTTGTATATTAGTTTGATTAAAATGTAATTTGGTCCATATGGGTTAAATTACACTTAATCAGCACATTGTAAATATAGGGTTGAGGCACCCCTAGTGCCACAAATTAAATGAAATTTGCTGTTTCAAAAAAAAAAAAAACAAGTAACTTCAGCAATACAACTCAACCACAACTTGAGCTTAACTCAACAACACATGTCATCATTTAAACATAAGCATTCAACTTGACAACATGGTAACCTCCCAACTTACAACATTGATTATCAACATAATTCTTTATCAACCCAACAACTAAACAACACCACAACACAACTATCACAACACAACAACAATATGCATTGTCATGCATTTTAACAAAGAAATTTCTGATAACATAAGTAAACAATTTAAGTGGTTTGACTTTATCAAACTAACTTAACAATGTGATTTATTTTATGCTTTTTAGATCAACAACATTTGATAATATCAATTCACAACATAATATGATTTCTCGAATTTACTTGGATGTGAGTCTATCACGATATTAGTATGCATCAACCAAACTTATATGAAATTAACCTACTGATTACCCTCCATATACTGCCTACCTTTTTAGTAATCAATTAAGGATTTTATTCCTCGACTTTATACCTTATTCAATTGGACATTTCTAACATAGTATGACTTAGTCTGACTCCATACAATATTAACTAAGGACTTATATGAGATTCAACACTCCATTTCAAAAGATAATTATACCCAAAAAGAAATTTCAACAATTTGACTGTCAGAGTACCACAATACATATCTACACAATATTTTAAGAATTAATCATCTATACACTGTCAATGTAAATTTTTTTATACTGGCAACCAATCATATTTTTTAAAATTGCTTATTTTATTATTATTTCATTAAATAAGCAACTGACATGACACTATTAAAATATATGATTAGTTGTCAATGTAAAAAAACTTTACAATGACAGTGTATAAGTGATTAACTCATATTTCAACTTTAAAAATAAAACATCTAATTTAGTCTTAAATTCATAACACAACTTCATACAACAACAAGCCATCATGAGTTAAGTCGGGTTGCTCACCTCGTTTTTCCATAGGCTAAACTGCTGGGCAAACCGAAACGGGGTGCGGCGGCCCAATGATAAATGAGACATTTCATGTTGAACAAGTAAATTAACATCGTAAGTATTGGTCTTACAATCTTGGATTCGGTAAAGAGCAAAACATGTACGGCTTCTCAAACGTAATAGTTCTGTACCAGCCACCCTTTGTTTGTCCGTATTTGTGTTGTGTACGTATATGAAGAGTAAGTTTGTTCACCATTCCAAGTCATGTGATGTGAAGTTGTTTTATTTTTTATTTTTCTTTTGGGGTACCCAAGTCATGTGAAGCTAAACACTTTAACTACTACTCTCTTGACTTCAATATGCTACGCAAGAATTATGAAGTGTCTTTTACGCCATCGCATTCATACGGTAATTATGTGAAAATTTCTACCGTCAAATACTAGGATATTTAAAGTTTTCAGCACATCAATTAAAAATAAGAAAATTCAGAAATATAGAAATTTAAATAACATTTCCGTCATGAACATGAGCAGCCAATGCATTAGATTATCTTAAATCTATTTAGACTTTTTTTTCCCAAATAATTGTCAAATTAAATCATATACCTCCCTCATCGTCATACGATTTAAACCCAATATATTTTAAATTCAATTATTTAAACATAAAAAATTGACACCGTATTTAACATTATATATAATTATTTTTATTTTTTTATACACACGCATCTTAAATATCTTTTTAAAAGGAAAAACAAATACTATTATCTTGGAAAAAGAAAACAGAGAATTGAGAAGAGTTCTTATTATGTTGGAATGAATACAAAAAATGTATTTATACTATGGAAAACAGCAGAAAGATAAAAAAAAAAATCATAACAGAAAAACTAATTGATTATAACAACTAAGTATTAGATTAAACTGATTAAAAAAATTTTTGATATAAAAATATCAGCTAACAGAAACCAAACTTAGTAAGGTATACCAGAGTTTGGAAACCAGTGATAAAAATAAAAAGGTAACAAATTTAAAACCAAAAACAACTAAATTGTTGCTATAATTCAACAAAATAGATACCCAAACTATTTTGCTGAATTGGCAGCAATTTAGTTGTTTGGGTAATATATCTCACTTTGATGTGAACTATTATTCTTTTTTTTTTTTCATCTTTGCCTGAATTACATAAATTATGACTAATTCCTGTGTGCTAGCTAGCTCTTGAATTTTTCTAGCACCAAAAGTTTAATGTGCTTTGCGGTCCCATGAAAACATCCACAAGAATCACGACCATTCGGTTCCAGATGAGAACTTTCTTATGCGTATAAGATTTTTCAATAGATAAGATCATGTATATTAAAAATCAAAGAAAGAGGAATATTATGCATGCAAGCCAAACAAAATAAAAAAGAATATTCTTTTCCTAGATGCCTCACATTACAGGGCTAGCTTGGCATGAAAAAATTATACCATCCACATATGATTAAATGGAAATTCATGTTCGTCAGTCCAAAGCACGTCAATTTTCCTCTTGCGGGAATATGTGCATTCTTAATTTTTATATAATCATGTACTTCTTCAAATTTATATAATTGTGTGATATACATCTCCCCTGCTATACAATAGCTACAATGATTAACTGGAATTGTTGATACTTCTCTTTTTAATATTGTTTAGACATGTACTCTACTTTCTCGTAGGTGAGAGGCTATTTTCTCAAACTACATTCATGCGTCAAAATAAGGATACCACTCTTAATGAATTTATTTTTTCATATACATAATTTTTTTATACATATATATCAAATTTATATTTAAGGCTCTATATACTTCATCCAAAATTTGCAATTATTGAAGATTAATAAGTCGTGCATTCTTGGCTTTA